TGTTTCCCCAAGAAAGCAACGAGATTTTTTTTTTTTTTTTTTTTTTCTTCAGTAAAAGCATTTGCAGAGTCTCTTGCTTTACCTTCTTTCTCTCCAGACGCTCCCGTTCCTCCTTCTGGAAGTGTTTCTCTCTCTCTGTCCTCTGTCTCTCTGCTTCCTCTCGGGCTTTGGCTTCGGCCTCCTCTCGCTGGAAAAGACACATGAAACTTCATTACCCATACAGTACATGCATTAAACATCTCTAAATTACCCATAAGCCCTTTGACATGACACCACGAACTAGTACGGTGGCAACATTAGTGTTTTTATCATTAACAAAAGCTAAAATTAAAACTGTTTTGAATAAATATTGAATACACTAAAAGCTGAAATAAAATCTTATTGAAATATTAGCGGAAACATCCCAAATTAAAAAAACTTTGAAATATTGCATTTGTAGCTAACAGAATAAGTTGAAGTGCTAAAAAGTTGCTAAAAAACTGGAAAAATTAAAGCTATATAGAAATATATATATATATATAAAAAAACTAATAAAAATGAGAAAATCACATAAATTATTAAAATTACTTAAACAAAATGAAAACTAACGTACACTAAAATTTGAAACCAAAATTTAAATGAAAACTTTAAATGAATAAATAAATAATAGATAAACTTTAACCTTTAGAAATTTTGAAGTTGAAGTACTTCATTACTAAAAAAAAGAGAAAGCTATACAGAAATATTTAAAACAAATACAAAAATGACAAAAGCATAGCAAAATTACTCAAAACTACAACTAAAATTAAAAATGTAAAAATAAAAGCTATTTCAAAATATTAATAAATACTTTAACAGTATATAAAGTGTATATTTTTTAAATGTGATTGTTGGTACATTTTACCAGTTTTTACCATACTTTCAAAACAAAAATTATGGAAAAAGGGGGGTTGTCATAATCAGGGTCGTCTTATATTCGGGCCAATACGGTAATACTAAAATAGGCAATGAAAAATCAATAGTTGGTTGTGTTTTAATTTCACTCCTTTACCACAAGGGGGAAGCAGCAGCCAAAAATTCCCTCTGTTTGATTCCTTTGAATATTCTTCACCTAGACACAGTATCTTTCTACTGCATATCAAAAAATGGACTGCATACTGAATCATAGACATAAACGCACTAAAACAGTTTGTTTAATCTCATAGCCTATAAGTGCAGATGTGGCATCAAGTCCATTCTGTTTATATATATCTGTGTTCTCGGTCACAGTTTAGATCTGCTCAGACACCACAGATGTGCTTTGTACGTCCAGAGAGCCACAGGCAGACCCATTAGGCCTGTCCTGCATGATCAAATCAGACCAGAACACAGGCTTGGTGTCAGACGGGCTCTGTGTGAAGGACAACAGATGAGAGTCGCCCGCAGGCTCATGTGACCGCACAGATCTGAACCACAGGAGAGGAGACTCAAGCTAATGCCTGTGCCTCGGTCGCCTTGAGGCCTTGAAGGTCTTTTGTATTCAAATGATTTTACTGAAGACGGATTTGAAAATATTTTGGTAGAAAATCATATATGGCACAAATATATCATTAAAATTAATATTATTTAAGCCACTGAAAGTGGCTGAGCCAATTAGTAACTAACAGAAGCTTTTCAAAATCTTCCAAAACTTGAGATGTTTGTCATAAATGGTCTCCATTACCCATGAAGCACTGCTCACCTGTCTCTGCAGACGCAGGTTTTCCTCCTGCTCGGCTTGTGCTCTCTCCTGCTCCTCCTTCTCCTCCTGCAGACGCTGTTGCTCTGCCATGAAGCGCGCCTCCTCTTCCCTGCGCCTCCTCTCCTCCTCCTCACGTCTGGCGTGCTCCTCACGCAGTGCTCTGAATGAAGATGAGGCAGTGTTAGCACCACGAGAGATACGAATAGTCACTCGCATTCAACATCTCGGAAGCAGAGTTATTACCATTAACTAAAGCTAAACCATGAAAAAACTGTTTCGTTACTTGAAATAAAATAAACATTAACTGATTTTAAAAAACGTTATTTCTGCCATTTGCTCAGGAGGCAACATTTCTCATAATATAAATAATAATAAACTATAAAGACATATTAAAAACAAAATGATAAAAATTAAAATTAAAATTAAAATTTGAACAAAAAATAGAAAATATCAAAATAACTAATACAACTAATAAATTCGAAATATTAATAAAAATGATAATATTACAACTTAAATAATAATATACTAAATATGCTAAATCAATGATACTAAAATATCACCGCTCAGAGAAGAAAGCCTATGGATTATTTATGAGCTGTCTGGCGAACGGAAAAGTCATGGAAATGATCTTTTACAAAATCATGTAAATCACAGTCTAATGAATTATTAAATCAAAATATAAATTTATATTTAATACCATTTTTTCATTATATTTAATAATCATTTATGTAATTATGATCAGCTCTAAAATATTTCATCTGCAAGAATTTGTAGAGCATCTATAAAATGATTTTCAAAACCCTTATCAATAATCATAAACAACCGGAAAAGTCATAGAAATTCATTGTTTTTAAAAACTACAGAAATTCTGTCAACCAGTGTTATATCAGTATTTTAGTACACTATTATAGTTTGGTTTAATATTATAACTTAGCATAAAATGTTTAATTCGTTTTTATTTTTATATTTAAATATATTTCTATTTTTAAAATAATTGTTTTTATTCATTTTATTTTTATTTATAATTTTGCTATGTATTTTTGTCAATTTTGTTAGGGTCTTATATTACATTGTGTCTCCCCCCCACCCCACACTTTTAGTTTTAATTCAGTTTTAGATTTTATTTATTTCTAGTGAGTATGGTAATTTTAGTGCATCAAAAAATGATTTCAGTTAGTTGCAAAGGCAACAAGTTTTTCATCAAGTATTAATATTTTATGTAGTTTCAACTTATTTCAACAAAAATGTTTTTTAATTGTTTTAGCAAACAATAATAACCCCGCAGTTTCATTTTAAATGTCAATCCAGCAGTAACTTTCTTTCTTTGCAAAAGTGGGTTGGTCATTATGTTGGCTATGCAAGACCAAAGCAGTCTATAACCAACTGACCTGCTCTTCTGCTCCTGCTCTCGTCTCTCCTGCTCCTCCCTCTCTCTCTGCTCACGGGCCTGACGTCTCTTCTCTGCCAGCACGCGGGCCGCCTCCTCGGGATCATTGGTCCCAGCCATGGGCTTGGCGATCGGAGGGCCGGGCTCAGGAGAGAGTGATCGGGAAGGTGTGGCTGCCAAATTGGCCGCCTCTGGTGTCTGAGGAGCTGCTGTGATTGGAGCAGAGGGAGTAAGGGGCGTGGCCGGAGCAGACGAGACGGTGATGTCAGGAATACTGGGAGCAGCTAAACAGAAAAAAACAGGAGAAAAGTCCATCAAGAAGAGTAAATGCTTAACGTTTCGTTCATACATATTAAAGCTGAAAAAAAGTCCTTGAAATCCATTGAGCCGTCACACTGATTTATCTGAGAGCAAACCGGTCGTCATGACGATCACACTCACTCTTTGTGTCCTTGGGAGGGTCAGCCTGATGGGGCTCCTTGGTTTCCATGGCGACAGCAGCAACGGCGGGGGCCTGCACGCGGGCGGGAGTCTGAGCGCGTTTAGGCCGGGTCTTGGTGCCTGGAGGAGTCCGGCCCGCAGATGAGGGTGGTTTGGGGGACACCGCTGGATTGGGGGAGAAGGGGCGACTCCTGGACGTCGCAGGTGATGAAGCTCTGTTTTTAGCTCTGATATTTGGGCTAAAAAGAGAAGAGATTTAAGAAAACATCCCAGTATAGATTAAACAAATCTGAAAAAAAGGGTTTTCTTCTTTAGTATTTTTGTCTTGATTTCTTTTACATTTCTTTGATATCTTGAGCTTTCAATTCTATCTATCTATCTATCTATCTATCTATCTATCTATCTATCTATCTACTGTATGTATAATATTACTATTTAGGTTTAATTAATTTTAGCTTTAGTTCAGTTTTGGTTTTTATTTCTGTCCATTTAGTAATTTTAGTGCTTTAAATTCAATTTATTTTTAACTTGATAAGTTATCAAGTTTTACCTAGTTTTATTTGGTAGATTGTTTAGGTGATGAAGCTCTGTTTTTAGCTTTGATATTTGGGCTGGTTTTCTAGCGACACTGAAAATATTACTTAGTTTTTGCATTACATTATTTTGATATTTTCAATTTTTTGTTTTTTCAGTTTTAGTTTAAATTCAGTTTTAGATTTGGTTTTTATTTAATTATTTATTTATTTCTTTAACAGATTTTACACTAAAAAATTAAATGAAGATCTAATTGAGAATAAAAAATGACTTAAGATATTAAGTTTGGCTTTTTTTTGAAAAATTTATCAAAATTAAGTGAGTTTAAGCTTAAACCAAGAAAAACACGTCTGTCAGAAGGATAAGAATTTTTTTCCCTCTTTGAATTAAGTTTGTTTTTCTTAGCCCACTGACATATATTTTTTTCTTGTTTAACCATAAACTCACTTCATTCAATTCTTCAGAAAACAATACTTACTAACCCTAAGCTGAATAATAATATTGATGCTTGCCTTAGCAATAATGTGGATTTTGTCACAGTGAGGAAACAAATTATGCTGGAAAATTGGTGGCTGTTTAAGAAACAGTGTAAATAAGCAATCAGGCAGGACATGGACCGGCCATAATAAGAGTACAACCTTAACTCTATAATGGCTAATTTATCACTTTTCCACAAAGCAACTGAACACAAAGGCCTGAAAAGACCCAACAGCCTGTTAGAAACCCTGCTGAGCTGGATCAGAGCCTCTCTTTGCCTCATGAGCACCACACAATAATTTAACCTGCTGCAGCTTAAAGAGCATGTGCTGTGTGTGTGTGTGTATGTGTGTGTGTGAGAGAGAGTCACCTGGCTTCTGTTTTCGTTCTGGTTATGGATTGGGACGGTCTCTTCTTCTCCACTTTTTCTTTAGACAGGGCGCTCTTCTCCTTTTCGTTCTCTCGTTCCTTGTCTTTCTTTTCTTTCTTCTTCTTCTCAAACTAAGTAAACACAGTGATGGATCATTTCAAAGTCAAATCAGGACAAACTGGATTTTTTTGTTATTTATGGAATTTAAAAGTTAAATTAATGCTTTCATTCAGTAAGGACAATGGATCAAAAGTGACAAAGACTTTTATAATTTCTTATAAACAAAAAATGTACAAATAATTTTTTCAATATGACTTTTTACTATATTTTTTATCAAATAAATGCAGCCTTGGTGAGCATAAGAGACTTCTTTCAAAAACAATAAAATATCAAAACACGTTAGTGCATATTAGCATTATTATATGAATAATTCTACATTTGTGAGCGGATTATTATGTGCATGTATTTACCGGTGTAGAGTTGCGTCTCTGCTGGCGTTGTGTGATGTCAGGTGTGCTGGCCGAGACCCTCCAGCGTTCAGCGCTGTGCTGGTGAGGATGATGATGGGAGCAGGGCGTCAGAGGAGATACGGACGCAGAGCGGGAACACTGATCTGAGATCAGACAGAGACATGATGTTTAGAGACACTCACTTGTTGTTGTTGTTGTTGTTCAAGACACGACTGAGAGATCTTACACTAATGTTCAAAAGTTTGAGGTTGATCTTTTTTTATGTTTCTAAAGAAGAAGCCTCTTATGCTCAGCAAGGCTGCATTTATTTGATCAAAAATACCATAAAACGCAGCAATATTGTAAAATATTACAATTTTAAATAGCTGTTTTCTAAGTTAATACATTTTAAAATGCAATGTAATTCTGTGATGGCAAAGCTGAATTTTCTGCATCATTACTCCAGTCTTCAGTGTCACATGATGCTTCAGAAGTCATTCTAATATACTGATTTGCTGCTCAAGAATATTATCAATGTTGAAAAAAATCTTACCAACCCCAAACCTTTGAACAGCAGTGTGCATACAGATGATCTGTTATATTCAGAATAGTCTTTTAGCATACTACAATATTGTCATTATGTAGTATTTATACTGTAAACATTAAGTAACATTTCTATAAGCATGAATTGATTCAGAAATAGGGGGTATAAAAACAAAGCACCTCGAACAGAGCATAATATATTCCAATTGAATACATTAACTATGATTTTTATCATTCTTGATTTAGACGAACAGCCAAAAAGCAAGGCATTTTTACACAAAAATGAAAAAAAAAGCAAAATAACCATATTTATGTAAAAAAAAATTATAATTGGATATTATATAAATGTACTTATGCAATGAGATCATGTAACAAGGATGTAGCATCTTAATGTTCAAACTGTATACTGAAGGTAAAAGTGCATACGGTTTTACATACTTTCTTTAAATTTTATAATAGTACATACTGTGCGATATACAGTTAGCTAGTATTTCTATTCTGAACAACAAAAAGAAAATCTTCAGATTTGGTAATTTGCTGAAGATTATGTACTTTCATTTGAGACCCTAAAGATAGAAAACAAAATTGTCGATTAAAAACAGTGCATACTAAGCTCAAATAGATAAACAGACTCCATTTGGGACAAAAATTGCTTCATTTTATACTGAGGCTAATGAAATGCACATAGAATAGACAGAACGGTTTTTTTCACTTGTTTGATTTCAGCAGACAAGTTTAACTGCTTGTTTTCTCTCAACGAGGCCCATTTATGATGTGTGTGTTTTGTGATGAGTATAACCGTTACCTCAAGCTCCTGACATGTTATCTGTGTGTGATGTGTAACTCACGGGGGTCGCTGCTGTTCTGGAGGGTGGCGACGCTCCGGCTGCGAGCCAGAAAGGAAAGGGTGGGTGTCATCAACCTCTCCACGATGCGACTCTCCCACGGGCTCAGACGCAAGCTGCGGGCTCAATATGACTTTTTACTATATTTTTTATCAAATAAATGCAGCCTTGGTGAGCATAAGAGACTTCTTTCAAAAACAATAAAATATCAAAACACGTTAGTGCATATTAGCATTATTATATGAATAATTCTACATTTGTGAGCGGATTATTATGTGCATGTATTTACCGGTGTAGAGTTGCGTCTCTGCTGGCGTTGTGTGATGTCAGGTGTGCTGGCCGAGACCCTCCAGCGTTCAGCGCTGTGCTGGTGAGGATGATGATGGGAGCAGGGCGTCAGAGGAGATACGGACGCAGAGCGGGAACACTGATCTGAGATCAGACAGAGACATGATGTTTAGAGACACTCACTTGTTGTTGTTGTTGTTGTTCAAGACACGACTGAGAGATCTTACACTAATGTTCAAAAGTTTGAGGTTGATCTTTTTTTATGTTTCTAAAGAAGAAGCCTCTTATGCTCAGCAAGGCTGCATTTATTTGATCAAAAATACCATAAAACGCAGCAATATTGTAAAATATTACAATTTTAAATAGCTGTTTTCTAAGTTAATACATTTTAAAATGCAATGTAATTCTGTGATGGCAAAGCTGAATTTTCTGCATCATTACTCCAGTCTTCAGTGTCACATGATGCTTCAGAAATCATTCTAATATGCTGATTTGCTGCTCAAGAATATTATCAATGTTGAAAAAAATCTTACCAACCCCAAACCTTTGAACAGCAGTGTGCATACAGATGATCTGTTATATTCAGAATAGTCTTTTAGCATACTACAATATTGTCATTATGTAGTATTTATACTGTAAACATTAAGTAACATTTCTATAAGCATGAATTGATTCAGAAATAGGGGGTATAAAAACAAAGCACCTCGAACAGAGCATAATATATTCCAATTGAATACATTAACTATGATTTTTATCATTCTTGATTTAGACGAACAGCCAAAAAGCAAGGCATTTTTACACAAAAATGAAAAAAAAAGCAAAATAACCATATTTATGTAAAAAAAAATGATAATTGGATATTATATAAATGTACTTATGCAATGAGATCATGTAACAAGGATGTAGCATCTTAATGTTCAAACTGTATACTGAAGGTAAAAGTGCATACGGTTTTACATACTTTCTTTAAATTGTATAATAGTACATACTGTGCGATATACAGTTAGCTAGTATTTCTATTCTGAACAACAAAAAGAAAATCTTCAGATTTGGTAATTTGCTGAAGATTATGTACTTTCATTTGAGACCCTAAAGATAGAAAACAAAATTGTCGATTAAAAACAGTGCATACTAAGCTCAAATAGATAAACAGACTCCATTTGGGACAAAAATTGCTTCATTTTATACTGAGGCTAATGAAATGCACATAGAATAGACAGAACGGTTTTTTTCACTTGTTTGATTTCAGCAGACAAGTTTAACTGCTTGTTTTCTCTCAACGAGGCCCATTTATGATGTGTGTGTTTTGTGATGAGTATAACCGTTACCTCAAGCTCCTGACATGTTATCTGTGTGTGATGTGTAACTCACGGGGGTCGCTGCTGTTCTGGAGGGTGGCGACGCTCCGGCTGCGAGCCAGAAATGAAAGGGTGGGCGTCATCAACCTCTCCACGATGCGACTCTCCCACGGGCTCAGACGCAAGCTGCGGGCTGACACAAAAGGGGGCTGTTAGCATCGACACATGTGGACACAAACCCTAGGTCACTCGACAAAGGGCCGAAGTGCTGGCTGTAACATCCAGCAACAGGGTGTCTGACCAATCATATGATTGTTACTGGAAGCAGAAGAATCCTCAGGCCCTTCACTGAGTGAGCGCTTTCACGACCTGGACATGTTTGTGGACTTCTAATCCACATAACCTACACTATTGTGAATTTTGAGATTGCTGTACTTACATTCACACACTTTATTTGCTCATCTGATCATTGTAACTTCAAAGAAGTTGAAGTTTCAATTGAATTAGTGGATTTAACCAGTACTATTACTCATTCTGGTTAAATCAAGAATGCAGTAACTAGTACAGAGCGATAATTTATATATACTACCATTCAAAAGTTTGGGGTCAGTAAGAAATTGTTACTTTTATTCAGCAAGGACACATTAAGGTACCATCTTTAAAGAATCTTGAAATATAAAATGTAAAAATATTATCCGTTTTTAAATGTTTTCAACATCAATAATAAGAAATGTTTCTTGAGCAGAAAATCAGCATATTAGAATGATTTCTGAAGGATCATGTGACACTAAAGACTGGAGTAAAGATGCTGAAAATTCAGCTTGGCATCAATTACTTTTTAAAATTTATTCAAATAGAAAACAGTTATTTTAAATTGTAATAATATTTTAAATTTTTTACTGCATTTTTGATCAAATAAATTCAGTCTTGATGAGCATAAGACATCTTTTAAAAGCATTTAAATGGTGGAGTAGATGGCAAGAAATATGAGACAACTTTGAGTTCATGCTGAGATCTTTTGATCGCAGACTTTAGTATTCTCAGCAAGGCTAAACATAGTTTGAGATATTATAAACCTCTAGAGGAGACAAATCTGAGTATTTTGCTCTTCATTTGATCTCCTTGCTCTCTAGGAGAAACATTTAGATATTTTAGAGAGACTATTTATACATTTTCTTACCTATGAATGATTTACAGCATGTCTAGACGAACAAGTCTCTTATACCAGAATAAACGGTTCATGGGTTCAAAGATGGGTTAAAACTGGTTTTATTGAGGGAATTATGGGATGCTGCTGTGTTAATAATCTGAGAGCACATTAAAATGAAGTCTGTGCTGTCACACAGATGACTGAAAGACATTTCTCTACAGACACGAGAAAAACAAGTGACGTGACGAAGAAATGAATCTGTGGTCTCGTTTTCTCCCACGCTCCTTTTCTACAAACACGCACACACACATGCATACACTCTTTCCCACTCAGGCACAAACAGGCAGAAACCCACTCTGAATGTCGTATTTGCAATCACACAACATTAAAACGGCACTGTGTATAAAAATGGACCCCTTTTCTTTATGTAGCAACAAGGTGGTGCTCCGATCTGACACTTTAGCAACACAAGAAAATTTACAACACTTCGTGATGGCTGGTCACTGGCTGTTGCTAGGCAACAGCTGCCTTTTTTTTCTCCCCCACTGCGGCAAACTGTGCTGTTGCCTGAACTACTTTAACAGAAGGTTTGATCACGATCTAGGATATAAACTCTTTATACTATATGTTTTAAAAACTAATACAGAATATGGTATTTTTACAGGAAGCTTGACGCAAAAAAATACACCTCAAACAGTATAGGCAAAAAATTTGTTTAACCCAAATATCATGTGTTGTATCTCAGCATAAAGTGCACTCTGAGATGAGTGGTCATCTCTAATGACGGGGAAATAAGTACAGACCATGAGCTCCACAGTTACCATGCGGTGCACAATGCTGTTATTATGTTGATTTACACACATCTGCATAGCCACAGCTTTGCTGACTTATCATTGGTCCTCTAGAGGAGACAAATCTGAGTATTTTGCTCTTCATTTGATCTCCTTGCTCTCTAGGAGAAACATTTAGATATTTTAGAGACTATTTATACATTTTCTTACCTATGAATGATTTACAGCATGTCTAGACGAACAAGTCTCTTATACCAGAATAAACGGTTCATGGGTTCAAAGATGGGTTAAAACTGGTTTTATTGAGGGAATTATGGGATGCTGCTGTGTTAATAATCTGAGAGCACATTAAAATGAAGTCTGTGCTGTCACACAGATGACTGAAAGACATTTCTCTACAGACACGAGAAAAATAAGTGACGTGACGAAGAAATGAATCTGTGGTCTCGTTTTCTCCCACGCTCCTTTTCTACAAACACACATGCATACACTCTTTCCCACTCAGGCACAAACAGGCAGAAACCCACTCTGAATGTCGTATTTGCAATCACACAACATTAAAACGGCACTGTGTATAAAAATGGACCCCTTTTCTTTATGTAGCAACAAGGTGGTGCTCCGATCTGACACTTTAGCAACACAAGAAAATTTACAACACTTCGTGATGGCTGGTCACTGGCTGTTGCTAGGCAACAGCTGCCTTTTTTTTCTCCCCCACTGCGGCAAACTGTGCTGTTGCCTGAACTACTTTAACAGAAGGTTTGATCACGATCTAGGATATAAACTCTTTATACTATATGTTTTAAAAACTAATACAGAATATGGTATTTTTACAGGAAGCTTGACGCAAAAAAATACACCTCAAACAGTATAGGCTAAAATATGTTTAACTCAAATATCATGTGTTGTATCTCAGCATAAAGTGCACTCTGAGATGAGTGGTCATCTCTAATGACGGGGAAATAAGTACAGACCATGAGCTCCACAGTTACCATGCGGTGCACAATGCTGTTATTATGTTGATTTACACACATCTGCATAGCCACAGCTTTGCTGACTTATCATTGGTACGTTCTGCTGCATGTGGAAGTCAGCATTCTAGAAAACCCATTATTTCCTCGGACAGGAAACTTAAAATGAGGCTAAGTTCAGAATAATATTTCTGCAGATTCTAGCATGTATACTGTGCGTAGCACGTAAATTATCCATATATAACACCAGGATGGCACACTAACGTTTGCTGTGTAAAGTATATAAGCTCACAATACAATGTGCTCAGACTGATTTCTAGGATGATGAATATTATGATTTCTGACCTCTTGTCTTTAATTTGACAGACAAGAGTGGATTAAAAATGTGGAAAATAACTGTTTTTATTTCCGATGAGTAGACACCGGTTGTAGAAATAAACATACAGATGCTGATAAAAATATAGCATACTACTGTATGCTATAATACAAAAATATTCTGGCAGGGCTTTTGATTTTTTTGAGCTGCGTTTGTGTAACTTTTTTGCTTTTGTATATAAACTACCATTCATAAGTTTCAGGTCAGCAAGATTAACATTTTTTGGAAAGAAATTTATTCAGCAAGGATGCATTAAATTGATCAAAACTGGCAGTAAAGACACTGATAATGTTAAAAAATGTTTTTCATTTGAAATACTCTATTTAACTGTCTATTCATCAAAGAAACAGTTTGCACAAAAAAAAGAGAAAGAAAGTTAAGAATCACAATATTAATGGCTGCTGAAACTTCAGCTTTGCCATCACAGGAATATATAATATACATATAAATAACATTTTAAAATAAATTAAAAAGGAAAACTTAATTTTTTTTAAACTTTCTAAATGTTTTGTTAAATTGCAATAATATTTTACAATATTACTGTTTTACTGTATTTTTTATCAAATAAATGCAGCCTTGGTGAGCATAAGATATTTTCAAATCAATTTAAAAAATCATACCAACCCCCTAAAATTTTGAATGGTAGTCTAGTTAGGACATATTATTGCACAAAAAAAGCTAAATAATTGTTAAAACAACCATTAAGTGTCCAGAAGCTGTTAAGCTGTTAAACAATTCAAGTTTCCATCCTTCCATATAGTTTATAATGAACAGTATACAGTAAGCAGTATGCAAATATTCCATTCTGAACACAGCCAGATACAATTCACAACATCACTTATTCATATTATTAACCAACCAATTAAAATGATTAAGATCACATTAAAGCAGCATATACTATATTGCACCTTCTAACTTAGTTATCAGTACATTGTTTTATCGCTGAACAACAATCAGCCTTTCAAATCACACACTTAGTTAAAAAACCCACCACCAGCACCAAGACCCACACCACACACTGAAAGTGATGACGGAACACAAAAATAAGAATAAATAAATAAAAACAGATATTTCCACCACTTACTGGACCACAGATAAATAACCATCACAGACTATGATGCAACAATGTGAGCACTGATCAAAAGTGCACGGAAGAAGAGATTACCCACGATGCAACACAAGAACGAGGGGGTTGTGGGGTAGGGGAAGGTGTGAGAATGACCATAGATCACCAGGCACAGGCACAGGCAAGCAGGCCACCAGAAATGAGCAAATCAAAAGAAGTTCATGAGAAAACACAAAAACCAGACGAGGGTTTGGAGGGAGGGGTTTTTGGAGGTGAAACGCGGGAGCCGCTCCGTTCTTACTTCTGCAGGGCGAGTTCCAGAGCGTGGCCGAGGACTTGGATAGCCTGTTGTTAATCACAGGCTCCGTCTGCCGTGGCAGGTTGACCGTGGAGGCCGAGCATCTGCCTGCAGAACGCAACACAGAGAGCAGAGCGTTCATACCGACCCCCTGAGCGACGGCGGGAGGGAGCGCGATACTGGTTTTCCCGAAGGAAGGGTCATGCAGACTTTCAAAGGGAGAGCTAGAGGAGGCGGGTCTCTCTTGCATCAACTTGAAAGATGATCGTACATTTAAGATGTACATTAAATTCCATTGACACCATTTTTATATGATGACTAACTTTTAAAGTATGTGAATGCTAACCAAAACAGTACCATTCAAAAGTTTTGGGGTTGCTAAGATTTTTTTGTTTTTGTCAAAAAAAGTCCCTTATGCTAACAAAGGCTGCATTTATTTGATCAAAAATACAGTAAAAACAGTAAAATTGTGAAATATTATTACAATTTAAAATAACAGGTTTCTATTTGAATACATTTTAAAATGGAATTTATTTCTTCAGTGCAAAGCTGAATTTTCAGAATCATTACTCCAGACTTCAGTGTCACATGATCCTTCAGAAATCTTTCTAATAAGCTGAATTGCTGCTCAAGAATCATTATTATCAATCTTGAAAACTGTTGCTCTGCTTAATTTTTTGTGGAAGCTATTTTGTATTTTTCTAACATTATACATGTCTTTACTGTCACTTTTGATCAATTTAATGCACCCTTGCTGAATAAAAGCATAATTATTTTTGACCCCAGAAATTTGAATGGCATAGAATATTTAGACTATCTAGATAAATCAGCACTATCCTACTGAAAACACCAGCATTATCACCAGCATGTGTTGTGTTATGGATGATGGTTTCTAGCATGGCATGGCTTCTTAACCATAAAAACCCTGTTGGTCATCCACCATTACCAACTCCAAACAGCATGTAGACTTTTCATACTGGTCTGATCTGGTCTTTTCAACAGGGTAGTACTGTACAAAGTGATCCAACAAGACATCACTTCCTGTAACACACTGGTCACTGTAGACACATCATCATATAAGGAAAAAGAATAGGCTTTTCTTTTTGTCTTTATGTTATAATCAATGTCATACATACAGTAGACACATCAACGCCCATCACTGTGATGGTAAAGTGATAGTTCAGCCAAAAATAAAAAATTGTGTTATCATTTAAAACCTGTATGACTTTCTTTCTTCTGTGTAACACAAAATAATTGTTTAGAGAAATATCTCAGTGTACCAAGTCTGTTCGGTTACCGACATTCATCAAAATATCTTTGTTTGTGTTCCACAGAAGAAAGCAAGTCATACAGGTTTGGAACGGCATGAGGGGGAGTAAATGATGACAGAATTTTCATTTTAGAAAATTCCCTTTAAAGGGGTCATATGATGCGATTTAAATTTTTCCTTTCTCTTTGGAGTGTTACAGGCTCTTGGTGCATAAAGAAGATCTGTAAAGTTGCAAAGACTAAAGTCTCAAATCCAAAGAGTTATTCTTTAGAGTCAACCACGCCTACCTAAAACCTATGTGGGGGCTCGTTCTAACACGCCCCCACATATCTACCTCACTATGTGGGAAGATTTGCATAACACTGCCCAAATGTTCACGCAAAGAAAGAAGGCGTAACTTTTATTCTCGCTGTAGTATTGTTGCTGCCGCTATGTCGAGACGCTGCGTGTTTCATTGTGAAAGTGAAACTACTTTGTTTGGTCTTCCAAAAGAGGACGATATCCGCTTCGTCATGCCTAGAGCTGATCCGTGCTGGTCGCTGAAGAAATACATGAACTTCGCGCTGTGGATCACCGGATCGGCTTTCACCGTGGACGAAGCGGAGTCCAGCCCGGGGTCGTCACATGTGGTTGCCGCAAGACCACCGGCCGCTCCTTCGTCGAATCCGCTGGCCGTTTCTCACTCTAGCCCGCCTGCCTCCGCTCACTCAGCACGCCGTGTGTTTCGTTGTGAAAGCGAAACGACTTTGTTTGGCCTTCCAAAAGAGGACACAACTAGAAATCAGTGGTTAAGTTGTATTTACAACACTGTTCCAGAACAGTTCAACCCAAATATTCAGATGTGTGCAGCACATTTTATGGAGGAC